AAAAAAAAAAAAAAAAAAAGGGGGAGGGGGAGGGAGAACAATGATAAACATTATTCTAAATGGAGTTGAATTTCCTACATTGCAGTAAGGAAGGGAGTGATGAAGATACAAAGCTATATAGGTATATACAAAGATATAAATGAAGGATCAGAAAAAGTAATTAATTTGGACCCATGATTGCTTGGGGAAAAAGGGTGAGCTGATTCAAACAAAGCCATATAAATTCTGCCAAGTAAAAACAAGCATATGCAGGGAGGAGCCAGAAATCTGTTGACCCGAATAGAGCAGCAGAAATGGCTGTGCAAGGTAGTGGTGCAATCATCTCCTGGAAGGCAGGGATCCTGAAAAGAAGTTAAGCTTATAGTAAGCAACAAATTGAGCACTTTCACCAGTATGACTCTGGAGGAAAGTAAAAACTCAAACACTCCTTATGGCTCTTCACAAAGGAGAGACTAGTGAGATTATTTTACCTCAAAGACTGGAATTTTGATGGGATCAAACTGTGTACTGAGGAAAACTGGATTGTTTTCAAAATGAAGTTTAAGAACTGGAGAGGGAGCAGAAAACCACATGTAAATTATTCAGGAATGGGAAAAGATGTTTTATTTTGAGAGAATAAGATCTATATCAAGAACAAGAGAGTAAAAGATTAGTTAGTGCATAAATTCATGAGAAGAAAACACAGGTCTTAGCTCATCCATTTTCCTGAGACAGGCACTATTTGGAAGGTGAAGTCATACAAATAGAGCATACATTTTCTGCAGGCAAGGTGATTTATTCAATCATGATTTCAAGCATAGTGCAATATAATCATGGTTGTGTGCGCCTTAGGAAGAAGAAAGAAAAGAATAGTAAAGAGACACAAGTTCTAGGACTCTCTATAACAGGCAGTCAGCTCAAATATAACAGTTCACTGTAGACACAATCAGAGCAACTATCTGATACAGACTCCACGATATCTTCCCCAGCAGCCACTTAATGAGACATCTTTTCTAAGCTACCTAAAGGAGCTCAGTTAAAGGTAATTTTAAGACTCTTACCCATAGAGTCAAATAACCTGAAGAAAATGACCCTTAGCTTGAAAAAACAACTTCTCATCAAAACATTCCTTTTTCATTTTCAGGGTGCTTAGTTCTCACACCAATAAGCCTCCCTACTATAAAATTTCTTCTGGTTCATATAATACCAAAGTAATCTTAAAGAACTAGTTCTATATACTGAGTAGCCCTTGCATGGACAAAGGGGACTCTGAAAATATATGATGATACTAAGTTATTCTCAAAAAAAAAAAAGCATCACTGAAGGCAACTGTGAATTCCCCAAAGTCTGAGTGTATTTTTTTTCAAGCTGATAGCAAATACAGTCTTATCACTACTGCTACTACTTAATTACAACTAATGAGTTCTCAAATGTCATTATTAACTAAAACCACTATTATTTCAATTACAACCAGAAGTACACAGCATCAGTTATTCAGTCTAGTATATCCACATAAAAAGTTGTAGGACTCTATAATAATTCAGTCTAAACAGTTCTACAAAATGTGGCCAAATCCTTCAGAGCTATGAACAGCAGGAAGCAGCCAGCACAACTTCATGTGGATGTATTCCCCTCAGCTAAACCATTTCAGTTGTCTGTAAACCTTATCCAAAACTTAGTGTCTTCTGCAGCTGATCCTACACAACTGCACTACCCTTTCTTTCTCTTAATTTGTAAGCCATTAATGAAAGCTTAATCAACTCACAATACAATTCATTCAACATTTCAGGAATTTTTCAAAATAAAATTCATTCAACATTCCAGGAATGCCACAAACCCTGCAGCTGCCTCAATAGCCACTTGAAGAGATTTAGCAAAAGGAGCTTTTGCTTAGTGTAAGGGGCTGAATTAGGTGGACCTAACTCAAATGGATTTGAAACAACACCAAATAGTATTATATAGATTTTTCTAGCCAGATGCCTTGTGCAGACCCCCTTTATTTTTTTCAGCTTTGATTTACAGAAAGCAAGCTCAAGCCTGAAACTGCTAGAATATTAGCCCCTTCATCCCCCACTGCACCTTGGCTCCAGGCAGTTCCCCCATCCTTCAAATATTTCACTTATTGAATATATTCCTAGATAAGAGTTTATCCTTCTTGAAGCCTTACACATAAGAAAAAAAGGACAAACTTCCACTCAAAAAATATCTGCCTGTGGCCAAAATATTTATTGAAGCCAGGTGTATCCCATGCTTCAACCTCATCCCAAGAGGACTAGCCACACCACTACTTGCTCTCAGAATCCACCAAATTTGAAAGGAACTTTAAATTCTTAAAAATGTTAGGAGAGGTACAGCTCCAAGAAAAAAAAATTGGAATAGGCATTTATGAGTTAAGCTAGAAGTCAGCAATCAGACACAAAAGAATTTGCTTTGTTCTTGTTTTGTTTGTCTAACTTCAGACACTGAAATTATTTGCACACTGAAGCAAGGAAAAACAAAACACAAAACCAAAAAAAATTAAAACTAAACCCTTTACAACCTATTTAAATGTCACAAAAAGCATTTATAAGTATTAAGACAAGGGTTTTCAAACAGTGTGTGGAGGATTACTGCTGCTTAGCTGAAAATAATCACTTGCTTTCCACCTTCTATAAAAATATACTACACAACACGATACATATATGCAACAAATTAAAATTTAATTAAAAATGATAATTTCAGCTTTCTGGAAGAAACACATGCAACGTACCATACGCAATATACTGTTCCTTCTTGCTGTCCCTTACCTCCCTCTCTCCCATAGCTTCTAAACATCCAGACATTCAGGAGGAGAGACAGAACAAGTTGAGAAGGAATGAAACAAAGAAGAAAAAACTCCCAGCTGGTGTGAACACAATCACTTGCTGCAGCTGATGAGCCAAAGACAGATGTTGATCATCAACAGTAAAATATGGGATGTCCTTGCAAGGAAGGTAAAAGCCAAATACCGGGAGATTCTCAGTGGTTTGTCTTTTTCTTTATGCATTCTGCACTCTCAGGGAATCAACAACAGTGTTCATTAGGGGGATTTAGTTCTTACTGACCTGAATATTATTAATACTTGGTATCTGTTACCATGGTTAGAGCATTGTATTACCATTTAGTGTCATGGGTTGAGCAAACTGGTCTAGTGGGAAGTGCTGCTGCCCATGGTAGGGGGCTTGGAACTAGAGGGTCTTTAAGGTCCCCTCCAACCCAAACCATTCTATGATTTTCAGTAACCAAAACTGTCGTGGCAGCCAACCCTAATTTTTAAAATTTATTATAGTTACTCTGTTCTGGGCTTGCAACTGCTTAGTAGCACCCTGCCTTCAGAGCAACAGCAGAAAGGGATGGTCTGGCTCCAGGCTTTACGTTGACTAGGGCATTTTCTCATCATGATTAGCACTGTCTGATCTAAATGATCTAATTCTGCCTTCTGGCTTCAAACTACTCCTCTAGAAACATGCAGCTTTCCTACCAGCAAGGAGAAAAGTAATGCACAGGGGTTGGAAACTGGAGAAAGAAACAAAGCGGACAAGCAAGATAAAGAGTGACAACCAGGAGCATGGCTGCTAGAGAAATGGTGATGGTCACAAGGAAGCAGTCTGGAGGCAAATTATGCTTTCTGTATCCCATCGTAATGCAACAATTATAATAGTAATAACAATAATAATAGCAGCAGCAGCAGAATACCTGCCATTCACCCCCTCTTTCTCTGAAAAGCGGGGTTTGGTTTGAAACACTAAGGAAGGGAAACAGAGACTGTGAATTACTGTAATCCTCCTCCTGCCTCCACCACACACTCTAACAGCCCTTACACCAGAGCTCCATGGTGGGCAGAAGCATGTTCACCCCCTGCTTGAAAGCTTTGTGTAAGAGAGGAAGGAAAAAGTCCTCCCCGAGGAAAAAACATTTTTAGAAAATTATTTGTTGTTGTTATTACTATTATTGTTAAAAACACTAATCTCTTACTTACTCCATGCTCACTCACTGGAGGAACTTTGCTCTCACTTTCCTCTTCGCCCCAGGCTTTCTGATCTTTGTTTCTAAAGAGGGGTTTTCAAAAGCTCTGCTTGTGTATTTGTATCGGAGTAATTAGTGGGTGTCGGTTGCCTTTAGCAATCTGGTCAAAGGCTTTTCAACCCAGCCGCTCTAGGGAAGGGCTTCCCTGCCTGCTCCGGGCAGCAAGTGTTGAGTAAGAACTTTGGAAATACAACTCCTGGAGCAGCCAAGGCCAATACAGAAAGAGCTGCAGCGATAATGGAGAGGAAGATCATAAACCATGGGCAATGAGACAGTTGGCTACATGGTGCTGTGTGGAGAACCACCCTGTGGATGAAAGCATGGTAGGTTATTTTGGCATTTTTGTGACTTTAATACCTTTAGCTTGGGGTTTATTTGTTTATTGTTATTCCTTCAAGCCAATTTTTTTTTGGCAAGCTGATTGACGTAATCACTTTAAATGACATGTGGATCCTCAACATTCAGGTATGAGCAGAGTGACCAGCTTAAAATTTAGCACCCCCAGTCATCCAAAAGATATGGATGGGCCAGTTACACAGTGCATAAATACCAGTATTTGCAGGAGCTTTATATTCAGTTGCAGGAAAAGCCTGCAAGTGCCAAGAAAAAGTACTTTGTGAAGGCAGCTCATCGTTAGCCATGTCTTTGCTGCCTCACAGATACTAATAAGGTTGAAATGACATTTATTTATCAGTTCTATCAGTATTTGAAGAGTCTCATCTAGCATTAGAGTCAGAGCCTGCTGGGTATACTTGTGTTAGTATGCTTGTATATTGTAACAACTAAACAGTCATTGCACTCGAAGACGACACTTATTTAAGATAGTAGGTGTTTTAAGCAAAATTTCTTAGTTATAGTTAAGATATGATGTTGATATTAGTAACTGTACAATCATCAGAATGATGAATCAGTCTCTGCTCTTCAGCAGATCTATGGTTGATTTTCAGCTGCAATTACAGATACTGTGATAACATTTATTGAGATGGGACTGGAAGACAAAGAGAAAAGTTTAAAACTTCAGAGACACGTGTGACTTGCACAGCAGGTAAAATTCCCTGGCTTTTGGTCCCTTACAGAAATTAATGAGATTTGTTATTGTGGCACTCGGGCACCTGTCCTAAGCAGTTCATAGAATCATGGAATGGTTTGAGTTGGAAGGGACCTTAAAGATCATCTAGTTCCAAACCTCCTGCATGGGCAGGGACACCTCCCACTAGATCAGGTTGCTCAAAGTCCCATCCCACCTGGCCTTGAACACTTCCAGGAAAGGAGCTTCCACAACTTCTTTGGACAGCCTGT